TGTCTTTCTCTCTCCTTCTCTGGGATGGACTTAATGATTCTTAAGCAGAGCAAGGACTCCTGCCTGTCACTCAGTGTTTGTTTTTGTTAGTGTCTCAACTTGTTGATTATCTAAGTAGCTCTAGTGCAAATCACTGAGTAGCACAAAACAAAGCAAAACATAACAACATAACAACACAACCTAACATAAAGTAACATAACACCTTTGGTTTATAATCTTATTCTGTTTCTTAATGTGTTCTGATCAAATCATGCAATTTGTTAGCAAGAACAAAGAAAGAGGCAATGCGGATGCTGGCTACATTACTCAAGATCTACCTCATATAAGTAACTGAGTCTGTTCCTGCTGGCCTGGAGGAATACAATTGCAGTGCAAGACATGAGTGTGTGTTCAGAGATGATGTCTTTCACGTCTGCTGGCTGAACTGTGTGGACAGTAATTTAATGGAGTCACAATTAACTGAAACAGAAATTCAAGAGCAGAGGGAAAGGGACATCAGAAATATACAGGAGCAAGATTGTCTTGGGTTGCTCCACAGGCTGTTGGATGTCAGCAGCTAATGTTTCAAGTTTTTCTTGCTAACCCATTCTAGTCCATTCTTGCTAGTATTAACAATACTACTTAGAAAACCTCAAAATAGAAAATATAGTTCCTGGGAGAAAATTGTTATCCTTTAAATGCCACTCCAAAGTTCCCTAGAAGAAGAAGTCTGTCACAGGAAGGTTAGCTTACACTGGTGCTTCCCAACCTTGCTTGAACTTCCTGGCTGGCAAGGCCTGTCTCTTTGGGACATAAACTGAAGTAACAAATCCCCGAATCTCTGACCTGCATTTCCTTGCTGGCCTTGCAAAGACTTGTTGCTTGAAAATTTTACATTGCCTCCAGCTCATGGCATCCTCATGCGCAGGCACCAGATCTGATCCTAGTTCAAGTTTCCACTAAGAAAAAGCTCCATTTATGTCTGGCTGAGGACAACCGGGATGATACTCTGTAGTATGAGTTCTCTGACCCAGATACGAGGAGAGAGAGGCAAGGTCTGAGACCCTGCAGGCTGTAGTGAAACAGCAGGCTACAGCCACAGGAAACTGAAGAATCACTGAGGACTTCATATCCAGTGGCTTAGATCTTTAATTCTGCTCTATAAGTATCATAGAATTATAGAATAGTTAGGGTTGGAAAGGACCTTAAGATTATCAAGTTCCAACACTCCTGCCATGAACAGGGACACCTCACACTAAACCATGTCATCAAGGGCTCTGTCCAACTCGGCCTTGAACACCGCCAGGGATGGAGCATTCACAGCTTCCCTGGGCAACCCATTCCAGTGACTCACCACCTAACAGTAAAGAACTTCTTCCTTATCTCTAATCTAAACTTCCCCTGTTTAAGTTTGAACCCATTGTCCTACCACTACAGTCCCTAATGAAGAGTCCCTCCTCAGCATCCTTATAGGCTCCCTTCAAAGAATAATCATCAAATTCCTTCAAAGAAGGAATCATCCTAATTCTCAGGCTTTAGTATGGAGGATTAACAGTTATGTGCTGCTGCCCTTGCTACCTTTGTCTTCTCCTTCATCCCCACAAACAAACATGTTTCATGCACAAAGAAGTCCTTCACAGCTCTGGCTTTGTTTCAACCAGAGCTCCTGCAAATCAGAGGCTTCCAAAAAGCTGCCCATTGCTGGAAGCACAAGGGGTGGTGAGCAGTGGTGTTCCTGTAAAATTCCACATTTCTGGCTTACTGTCTTTCTGGCCAGCTGCTGGCAACTGGATCCCAGGGCAGCTGGATGTTGGCCTTTCTGCTTGAGCAGAAAGTGTTTCAGATTTGTGTACATTTGCACTTTTTGTGTATGGATACAGTTTAAAGTAAAAGGTTTCTGTAATGAAGATGGCTTGTTTGTATAAATACAGCTTGAGAAAGAGGAGTAGGGTGAGGTGGTGAAAAACTTGGAGCTCAGCTGGCAGCTAACTGCAAATAAATCAAAACCTGCAAAAGCATGGACCTGTTCGATCAAGCATGGCTAAACTTTAGCATTCCAATGAAGGAAAATGCTCGGGATTTGCACAGTAAAATAATTACCTTTCATTTGTATCCTGCATTACTATACCTATAGTGTTCCATGCCTTGTATACTGGCCTTTTAGCATTTAGTTTGAAAGACTGGACAGTATGGCTCATTAACATGATCTAGTTCTCTGGCTGGAATTAAATAAGCTGTGATCCTGAAGCTCCAGAATAAGCTAAACCAAATATCATACTGCTGTTCTAACCTAATGTAACACTAAACCGGTGATCTCCATGGATTTATTTTCTTGAGTAAATGAATGGTAGTGTTTTCCAGGTGCAAGTTTGTTAAGGTTCCCTACACCTTAAGGGATTGCTTCTCTAACAAGGAGTAGCTTCATCACAGGTCTCCCTTCACAGTAAGAACTACCATGGTCTTACGACTTTCAGTAATGCAGACAGAGGTAGCAGCGTGCCAGCGACTCCTCGCTGTTTCATGATTCTAATTCCTGGAAAGCTGGGATTAATTCAGTTGCAGATGTCAATTGTTGCTAATTCAGCTCTGCAGCGATAAGGTGGCTGATTCAGCAGGAAACAGAATTCATTTTCTTCTTGACACATACTGATGTCTCTTTTCATGAGTTAAGCTATTTGTGATCCTCCCTACCTTGCAGAAGCAGGAATGCCAGTTACAACTACTGTTCTTGCATTCACAATGAGGTTTAATCAATATTAGGGATGCCAGGAACTCTGAAGGCTTGGCTCTCATGCTTCTGCCCAAAACGGAGCTTTGGCAACTGTTACTACCTGAACATGCTACTGATCCCAAATGGTTGTGTTTTCCTCCTTTCTTTTCATTCCCTTCTCCCTGCAACTTCCTGAAGTGGACCATTTGAGAAAGGGGAAAGTCAATGCACACACAAAGCCCAGCAGTAGCTAGTTTAATGGATAGCATCCATGAAATACAATATCATCCTCTCTGGAAATTCTATCAGTAGCTTTTCCTTCATCTTTTCAAAGAAGACTGAATAATCTCGTGAGACTGTATTGTTGAGTTACAGCTTCAGTTGTTTCAAGAGTGGAAAGTTTTGTTCAAGAAGGAAGGAAAGAGGACTGCTGACATGCAGAACAAAAATAAATTTAGAAATGTAAAAAATAAGAATTCCTAGATAAAAAGTTTGATTAGTAGAAACCTGGACAAATGTGTGTAAATTTACAAAAGGAAAGGGGAAATTATTCTGTTCCTAGAGAACGTTTGGCAAAGGTTATTTTTATTGCAAGAGGGTATATTTCCCAGGATACTACTTCAAAAACAAACACCCAGGATATTTTGTCTTAGCTAAACCTAAGCAAAACGGATACTCATCATGGCAAGAATGCCAGTTACACTTACTACAATGAAAGCTCTATGTAAGGGGCTTAAACAAAACATACTCTGTGTTTAAATGCGTGGAATACCTTAAGGATATCTGTTTGTTAAAATGATTCTTGTCAAACACTATATTGCAGAAGCTGGCCCATGGCTTCATGAGTTTCTGAACTTGGAATGCCTTCAAATCTCTAGGGTTGAATGTCAAATGATATCTATCTGTAGACCATATCTAGCTGGAAGCATGAGTTTATCTGACTCAAAAAAATGCAAAAAGCTGTAATTCCTGTCTTCTATATAGCTGCTTCAGTCATAAAACTGAAAATAATTGGTCATTTCATTTGTCATATGTATACATTTTTTTCTGGAATTTTAGAGAGTTTTAAAGATACATCTGATACAATCAGGAACGTTAGATTGCCGTATCATCTTAGCTTAACTTTGGCCAAGTGGTTAATGATAGGTAGTCATGCCTTTTTATAGTGTTGGTACTTTTTTTGATTGTTGGTACTTTTTCGGTTGGGTTGGGGATTTTTGGAAACTAAAATCTTAACATACATATAACTAATAAAATTATTAAAAGATCAAGAGTGTGCCTGTTTGAGGTCAAGGGATGGTGGCAGGAAAGTGCCTTTGTACTTAAAAATGCATAATTACTACTTTCTTATTCCTATCTGTTATTATTTCCTCAAAAATATGAATATTAGGCTACTTTCCCCTCCGTTCTTTGTAGATTCTCCTTTTCCTCCTGCCAAGATTTTTACATGAGACCAGTATGTTCTCCTGTCTTGCACTAAAGTTGAGCAACCCCACTCACAACAGAACCATCCAGTTTTATTCAGGGATTTCTTGATTTTTCTTTCTTTCATATGTCTTGTTTAAACATTCACGTTCAGACTAAATTTCCCATTTATAGAGATAAATCCATTTCAGTATGTCATAATCTCTCACTATTTCTATCTTTAGATACTGCTTTACCTCCATTTTACCCCTCTTCATTGTCCTGACTTCTATTCCACCAATGTTTGTTGCATGCAATTCTCTACACATGGTCCTCTTTCTTGTCTGTAGAGAGAGAATGCTAATAACAGAACCTTCCTTTAGAAAAACACTGGCAATATAGGATTATTTTGCCATAGTTGAAAGAAGAAAGTAATTCTGAATATACAAGATGCATGTTTCTGGTCTCTGAGCAGGGAGAAAGATTGATTAAATCATTAAATGCAAAACATCTTAGTGTTTGTGGCTGTGCCAGCTGCCTGATATGGAAAACCTGAGAGTGTTTCTTAGTAAGATGGACTAAGGGATTGCAGCCAAGTGGCTGCATGAGAGCTGTCCTAGAAGTAGTGGTCTTAGTTGGCAGAATTGGCTACAGATATGTTGTGGTGCTATATTAGCTCAGGAATTTGGTTTTGTCTAATTGTTAAAAACATCAGAAAACGGTATTAGTTAAGTTACGTATAGAGTAAAATACTGTACTTCAATAATTCTCCTATCCGTATTAAGGAAAATAAAATAACAGCAAGTTATGTTTGAAAACTTGCAAATTATTTGCAAATACTGCTGTAGGAATATCTAAATGGAAATAAATTTTTAGTTTAAATTTTGTTTTTCTTGTCTCTCCTTAGGTACTGTCCCAAGCTACATGATCCATCCAAAACTGCTAGTGATCTCTCAGGAAAGCATGCAGGACTTAATTATGTGGTCTGCTTTAATTTGGGGTGAGTAACTGGCAGATCTAAAGTATTAAAAGCCATATTCTGCACATATCTTCCCTGGTGCTTCCCCTGTGCATGCACACTGCATGTTTATTTGTAATGTCCAAGGTCCTGGAGAACAGAAGCAAGCCTTCTGGAAAGGGATGGATTCCTCTGTAGTGAATGTGAATAAATCCATGGCACAAATTTTATTTAAAAAATAATAAAATCATTATTGATGGAAATTGAACAAAAATGTTCTGCTTTATAAAAAAGAAAATTGATTTTATAGGAATAAATCTCTGTAGAAACATCTGGCTGTGGAGGCATATTGGTTGAAATCCCCTACAAAGTAAATTCAGAGCAAACTATTACAGAAAAAAATCTTTTTAGTTCAAATCAATTTTAATGTCATGATTCTAATTGCAATGAATCTGGAAGCTGATTGTCGAGGTCTCATTTAAAAACAGCAAATACTTAGTTTTTCTTTCATATTTCTTCATTCTGTAGTATTGACTGAAGTTGTCCTTTTCACATTACTCCTTTCATATTAATACTTTCTACTTTATGACAAAGTAGGCATTCCACATTAGAACTTTCCACGATTAGTGTCAAGGCTTCGGAGAATCCTAACGTTACAAGGAGAAGTTTGTCAAACTTTATTTAACGAAAAAGAACCCAAACCTGTTGTGATAGTGTCAAAATGAATCTTTGCAGTCTTGCACACTTTCTCCAAGTGATGAACTTTTCACCCTGTTATGAGATCATCACACATGGTCCAGATTCCATAATTTATATTTCATTGGGTTTTCACATTTCAGATCTACTCTCTTATCAAAGAAAATCAATACAATTTCTGTACCAATTTATTAAGTTATGATGGAAAGGACATGAGTCATCACTGGCTAACTTTACTTTGTTCAATATGATACAGCATCAACCTAATAGCCTCTGAAGATCTTGTCACATTTAGGTATACACCAATACTGTGGCAACCTCTTCTCCTGTAACAGTGTTTTATATTCCCTACCCCTTCCAATGATATTAATGTGTTTTGGTCATTAATAGCTATATAGTTCTTCAGGTGTGCAGTAGATGCTCTTTCAAGGGTATCACTATAGTTGCAGTGTGCAAAACAAAAGTGACAAGGGAATATAAATGTTGATTTACTTCAAGGCTTTTTTTGTCTCTGTAACCAAAACCAATAATGTGTGTATTCTTCTCCAAATATCACCCAGATATCATCTGCAAATATTTGTGTAGTGATAAAAAGAATAACATTTCAAAGACAATGATAAGGCCTGTATAAAGACAAATATGATCACTTGTCTGTATAAGAAATACAAATTAAGTAATTGTTGTAATTTTGTCAGATCTAGAAAAGGGTTTCCTAGGCTTCTTGCTTGGGAAGCTTCTTTCTTTAAATACATTTATCTCTACAATGATTGAAATAGTTCTCTGAACCCATGAAATCCATCTGTTGAAAGTTCATCCAAACAATTCATCTCTAGGAATGCCATGGATGCCATGTTCCAAATTTTGTACTATATAAGTAGGTTAAGTACCCTTTTGCTTCACTGATAAACTTACGAAGACCAGTGAGGCTGTCATAATAGAAAGGACTTGAGTCAGCACTTGCTAACTTTTAGAGCTTAGAGAGATTTTAGTGAAAGAAAACCTGTCAGTGTTGATCTAGACAATAAATTTAGCCATCATAAAGAAGTCTAGGGTGTGCTAGTAAGTTCTTGCAAAAGCTGTTTGTATTTGTTTATTAACAAGATCTGAGGTTTTCCTCTTCAGTAGTTGAGGGACAGACCACAGAAAAGTGCAGTATTAAAAGTAAGCTGAACAAGATGAAAAGGAATCCCTAGTTTTGCAACCTGTAAGTGCAACTATCAGACTATCAAAGTATCCAACCATCAGTGGTGGATGCTGAGAACTGTTTACTAAACAGCAAACAAGCTGATAAAGGGGTCTCCAGATCAGTAGACTTTCGTGTGCCTTTTTTATGAACCTTGGATTATTTGAGGCAAGGAAATGGAATCAAAACTTTGTGCAAAGGACTACACTGAAGGCCAGACACAAGATGTATGAAGCCAGTGGCAATGCTGTTATTCATTTCACTGGGCTCAGATACATTCTGCAGCTATTTAGCTTCATCTGCACTCATTGGCATAACACTGATACACTCAGGGCAGGTGTAATCTGATCTGATGGGGGAGAAAAACTATGCCTCACACAGGACCACACATTTCACTGTCTGGCATTACTGGATAACTCCTCATCTAATAACTATCTTGCCCTTTTGCAATATGCAAGCATCCACCTCCATAACTGTTGGGAATTATAACATGTGGATGGCATCCTTGAAAATTATACCATAATGAGTATTCTGCTTTTTAAAACGTACTTCCTGAATAGTATTATGTGAACAGTAATTAATTCTGGTAGGCTCAGAACAGGATTATGAAACTGCTGGCTAGTCTATCTAATAAATTTATTGCATTTAAACACCATATAAAGAAACAGAAATGGGGAAAAAAAATTCTGTCCACAAACTAGGTTTTCTTGTGCTGTGAATAAAAATATCATTTCCCTAAGGAGGAAGAGAATTATGCTGCAAGTCTGTTGTAGCATTCATGGTACCAGAGCTAATATAATAATCATTACTCACGTCATCTTCGTGAAATAGAGGAAGAGAACAAAGGTGAACCAAATGGTCATTAGAAGTACTTGAGTTAGGGAAGGTGCTTTTCTGGAACACAGACTTCTCTGCATGCTGTGGATTTAATTTTGACAATTTGAAATAAACTTGATCAGAAAGCAGAATTTTCCGTCTGGAGAAAAGGTCTAATTTTTCTACTGGAAATTCTAAAAAGAAAAATGAAGATTCAAGGCCAATAACTGTAGTATCAACATTGTAAATATATAATACAGAGGTTTGTTTCCATTTCTGATCTGACCAATATCTTACGTCTATTTCATAATGAAAATGAAGTGTTAGCCTGAAATTGAACACTGCACTGGAGTCATCCAGTAAGAAAATTAAAACAAGTGAACATTTTCCTCCCAGGAGTGAATGACAATTTCTCAGCCTCCACCTTTGCCAGTGACCAAATTCAGGGGACAGCATTAGGAGAAAGATTAAACACAGACAAGTTGCAGGAGGGCAGGAAGGGAGGGATCCTATAAAAAGCTGAAATTATCTTGGGGCTGGTAGAAGCCCTTTTCTTAGATTTGCTTCTAAGCGAACACAGTCTGGAATTTGAGGGTTGAAATGAGGATTAGGGATGTGGTGTCTTCCTTCTCAGAAATCTGTGCTTCAGCACTTTGAAAGCATCCCAGCCTGCAGGGCAAAATAGGTCAGGCTATTCTTCACATTTCCCCTCCACTTATGCCCTGGAACTCCAGCACTCTACTGAGGTCCTGATTTGCGTTTAAGGTCAAAATCCAGGAACAGTTGTGAAGATGGGTGTCAAATATTTTGGCAAGTATCTGTGTGCCTATTTCAAAGTCTGAACATCTTATATCCACTAAACGAGGCTATTTCCCGAAGTCAGCTGGTGATCTGTAAGCTGGTGTCATCAGTGGAAGTTTTAAGGCAGTGTATGCAGAGTAAGTCAGTAGCACTGCATAAATTATATTCTGTTCTAATTACAAATCAATTAGTAATACCCAAACTTCCCCTATCCTGATGTGAAGGCTTATAAAGCGAGTTCATATGGGATCAAATAATTTGAAATGTGTAGCCAGTCAACTAGCTACCCAGTTCCCCAGTGTGTAATAACAGTATGTTATCATTCAGAAGACCAGATGCAGCTGTCAGCATGGTTTCAGTTGTCAGTCTTTGTTCTAACAACAGTTAAAAGAAAAACTGATGAGAGAGGGTAGTTTTGTCACCCAGGCCGAGCTTTGAGATGGGCTTCATTTCTAGCTTTTTCAGCATCCTGAAACAGATCTAGTAGTACTTCAGATTACAATCAGTAAAGCGAGGTTAATCATACTGATCTTATATCAGTTATCTATGTTTTCTTTTTAAAGTAGTCTGCTGTTTGAAGCAGGCATGATTTCCTTCTGGATCATACTAACAAAAGTGGTAACAATAATGATCAGAGCTTCTGGACAACTGAAAAGCACAAATAGTAATGCTGAGCACAAATCATTCCAGCGAAGAGCTGATGAGTATCTGCATATGTAGAGACTGAGGATCTTTTTGATTCTTTTTTGTCACTAGCGGTTTGTATGTATTGTCTTTGCTAGCAAATTGTGCTTGACTGATATAGTTGAAGCAGAACATTAGAGCAGAATACTTGCTTTTAGAAATTACATCTGCAAATTAATCAGCCTTCTTTCTCCTGAAAGAAAAAAATGTCCATTTTTAAAGCCATTTGGTCTGGCTGGTTAATCTTCTGACCTGTCTCACTGCGATATCATCAGGCTCTTGAAAGTCTTGGCAGCATCTTCAGCTGACAGATAAGAGTAAAAAACAGTTCTGGTTTTCTACTGTCTTCAATATTAAAAAATCTCAGTATTTATAATATTTGAAAGTTAGCTGCTGAGTATTCACATATCTGTAGTCACTTGCCTACCTCAGCTCTTACCATAATGTTAACCAGTTAAATGAATTTTAGTTGTTTGGGGTTTTTTTGAAGAATTGTATGTTGTACTTACAGACTTTGTACATCAGTCTAAAGAAGCTGAATGGTTCATAAGGACTAGAAACAGTAACGGCATAAAGTATGTTCTGTATTAAAGGAGGCACTGTGTTAAATGCCATATTAAAAAGAACCAAAAAACCCAACTATAAAAAAACCCTGATGAACTTACACAGATCATTGTCAAACTACACAAACTGTTACTAAGACTTTGTCAGAAAAGTGACTGGGTAAAAAGACTTCTGATTTTGCTTTATCTAAGTATTCCTGTTGTACATCTAAAGGGAGCAAATCTTGCAAGCTCTACAGTTTCTTTTTGTTGTTTTTGATCTTTGTACTAATCCAAAAGGAGGATGGTTTACATCTGGTTGTC